CATATACTGTTAATGCATTATACTATAGTACAACAGAAAAGGATCATATTACTATATCTTCAGTTGTTGAGAATCTCTACAAAATTTAGTATACTTTAACAGTTAGCATCGTATTACCATACATTATATAAACTCGTGCATTTAATTTAACACTGTAGCTTACTATAGCATTTTGCACACTCAGTATTATAATTGTTGCAGCATATTTAAACAAATTACTCTAATTCAAAGTTCATTTTAAGGTTTGTTCACCCCCACATATGACAACTTCACTGTACAAGTCTATGAATGTGATTAGCACACCATATTCATTAACTAGGTCTCCTGTGTGGATTTTGGTGTATCTAATGTTCTTTTACAAGAAAAAGTAATTATATTCAGTGACGGTGTAGCACAAGTAGGCTATAAATCATGGGAAAATACTTAGAACATAGAATTAAGGGCAATTGATTTTTACAGTTATTTATGATTTTCTGTAAATAAAAGATATGGTAACAGTAAAAATACAAATAACTTCAAATGACAATTATTTATCAGTCATTTTTGTATATGCATATCTGCATTTACACATACAATTTATTCAGTAATTAAAAATACTGCCTTTTATATGTATGCTGTTCTCTGTTTCACAGTCTTTGCAACACGCAAGCAATTTTAATACATTCTCATGACATAAACACCTAAATAGAACAACCATCATATGGATCATCATTTCACTTATTCATTATCGCCTGATCCCTCTCCAGCTGCTGCACAAAATAGTATTACAAGTTTTTTTAAAATTTCCTCTCTTAAATGCCAGAGTGGTACTTAGAAGGTGGCAAAAATGAGATCCTGTGCTTATCCAGGCCCTAAAAATGAACAGATATCTGGAAATAAAGATTTATTCTTCTTATCTTCCAAGTCTAATATTGCTCTGAACAATTTTCTTTTCCAAGCTATATACATTTACCTAATCAATGCTAAATGCAGCTATTATATCTCCTATTATAAAATGTTTCTCAAATTCAAAGCAGACAAAAATGTTTATGTGTTCTTCACCAGTGATTGTTTTACTATGATCCATGATTATTCTAACCATAGGCACAAATATCTGTGCAAAAATATCTATTAGAATACATCCTCAAACTTGTTTTGTAGGCTTTATCATCTGAAATACTGCAGAAAAAAATATTATACCCTATTGAAAGCAAAGTAGAAATTTATGAGGAAGAAAAATGTTTAAAAGAAAGTTACAGTAAACTACATGTGTATTTTTTAATTGCATCTCAAGGAATGACAGAAGGTTGTGAGTGTTTGTTTTTCACTATCCAGCCTTCTATATTTCCATTCCTCTTTCCTCTACAGTCTTACGCCACAGATCTGGGGTCATAATGTGTTCCTCTTCCTTGACTTCACTAACCTATCTTCCCTCTAAGTTGCATCTCAATTTTCTCAAAATTCAGAAGTTTACCCAAAGCCTTTCTTCTCTCTAGACACACTCTCCAGACATGCTTCGAGTGGATCCTCATAGCCTTCGTAAGTAAACTGAGATTCAAAGTCCCTATTTCTAAAACTTTGGAAAACTGAACATCTGAAAAGAGATAAGTTCCAGATTTTTCTCCTACAATAGCTCTCTGTGTTTCGTCCAATCTTCTTATCCTGCACCCACTGTTTAACACCTTCTGATTTTTACATTCTAGCGTTTTCTTGCACCCTGGGACAATATTTTCCATTCACTCAGAATCCTTGGATTTTTTATTTCATATTGCTCCCAAAACAAAGTCTTTAACTAAATTTTTCATCTCTCTTTATTTTACTTTGATAACCTACATAAATGATCACAAAAAGCTGACTATGGAGCTGCATAGATGAGATCGCATCTTTTGGTTCCAAAACAAAGGATTACAAATAGTACAAAATAAAACCTACTTAGTAAAAAGAAATCATTATTGCATTGAGTACATTTTTATAGTTGTTTCACAAACGTGTGGTTCAGAGCCAAAAACCAGGGTTTTTGCAATATACTGTGGAGGAACGTAGGGGAAAATGAGACAAAGTGATGCATCAAAGCCAGAAACATGCTTCAAATAGTTGTGCTTATCTTTCCAATAGTAAATGGCATTTAACATTTTTTCAGCAGTTTAATTTTTAATAATATATAATTTAGAGTAATTTAAATACATATTCCTAAAAGGATACTTCATGGACAGCTCAGAAGTGTAAAAACTGCACTACAGGTACTGACTGGGTCAGAAACTTTCCATGTATTATATGTACAAAGAAATACTTCAGAAAAGTAAGAATTTGCTACTTAAAACAAAAATTAAAATAATTTAAACCAAACAACCTTCTAAATAATTCTGCAAAAATCATTATATATTAATTACTTTTCCACTTCATGAAGCAAAATCACAAGTTAATGTAATTTTTATTCAACCATAAATTGAAGACAAAAGCGACCAGCAAGGCATAAAACTTAATGGAAAAATGTTTTAAAGTACAGCAAACAACTCCAAACAACACATGCAATTAAATACTGCTCTTGCATATTCACATGTTTGCAGAGCAACATTTAATACAGTCTTCTCAATTTATCATAAGAATCATGGCAAGACACTTCTACTTAGAATCACGGCAAGATTCCTATACCTATAATTTTGTTTTATTTTTAATTATATTAAATTGTTCTCAGTGCTTAATTGATGTTATAGATTTCAATTCTATCATAAAGAACAGCAGCAACATCTTTCTTTAGGACAGGGATGCTCACTTGCTGACTCAGGATCGGATTCAACTGACAAAAGAACTTTTCTTTCTCTTGAGAATGCTGGGGCCCCGGAAGTAGGTCACTTAAAACCATCAAAATGACTGAGTTCCATAGGCATCAGCTGCATACTCTATCAGCTCAAATACAGTGTTGTACTCCTCTCTATCCTAAACACTTGACAGGGAATAAGGTAGAATTCTAATATTCATGTTCTGCTGTTCCTCTTCTGGGGTATGTCATTGATTACCATCTTCCTGCATGATCCAAGTTTTGTTGGAAATCTATTTTAGTTTTTTTTACTCAGAGTCTGGTTGCCTGAGCAGATTACTCAGAAAACCCCATAGCTAAGTGATTTTGTATCTCACTGAGGCAGTATATTTCCATTCTTATATAAATTATGGCTATTTAGAAAAAAGTTCACATACATTCCAAGTACTGTTTGAAAGTTTTAGTATCCAAGTCAGTCAACCTAAATGCCCATGAAGGAGCAGTACTGAAAATGATTCAGCTATCCCAGCCTTTCATGTGTTATATAAAGCATCAAGTTTTGGTCATATGTGCAAACCAGACTTTGCAAATAATGCTATCAAGTTAGCAAGTTACATATACATATGTGTTATATATGTTATATGTAATGTTATGAAGTTACAGCAAGTTAGGTCTGTAGCTTTCTTATTTTCTTAGAACCACAACAAACCTTTCCTTAGCTCATTAGTCACGTTAACCGGAAATTAACCAAAACAAGCACTAGTTATGATTCATGATAAAAAGTCACTTAAACAAATCTATGAAAATGGTATATTGGCCAAACTATCTGTAGAAGAATTCAGAAAATTACTTACAAGGGCAGAAGTATACAGCAATACTGGTTTTTTGTCCTGGATCAAGAAATCCAGTCTGCTGACTAAATTTAAAAATACCGTCTTCTATATTTTTGCCTGCATCATCACAATTGAATTTCCACATCAACTGCTGCCTTGATATATTCTTCAGGTCAAGCTTCTGTAAATATTTGCAGAGAAAGGAGGACATGATGAAAGAGGAAAAGCAGCAAACACCATGATACTTTTCATATTGCTCTATCCTGAGCGTTCTTCTTACAATCAGATCAGAGTGAAAGCAAGGAAGCACTAGAAAGAAATTAAGAACCCAGTTTAACATATATATAAGTTAAGAAGATAAGCATGCTTATCAGCACAGACTAGATGCTTTCCAGCCACTCACCGTATTCACAGTTCAAATTCACTGTCTTTCCAGAATGGAAAAAACTCATTTATGTGAGGTAAACAGGTCAAAACATCATGGTGGGAATGCTTAACCAAACAGAAGTGAGGAGTTTTTCCTGATGCAAATGAAGGACAGCAAGCACTAAATACACAGCTTATGACATCCAGGCTTACGTCTAGGTGGATATGTTGAAAAAGCAAGAAGTTCAGAACAGGTTTTTAAAACCCATTCTTTTGGTTCAGTAAGACAACAGTGGGGAAAAAAAAACAAACAACCCTCCATTACATTATCCCAGAGTTAGTCTTTCAACTCCTAACACACCCATAGCTAGTAAAAGGTCTTGACTTTCTATTATCATTGGTTTCTGAAGATACTTGAAAAAGAGTTTCAAGTGTTTTCATCATTGCCAAAAGTAATTTTTTAAAATTTCCAAACAAAGCCTCTGGGAATTAGAAACAATAAATTATGTTATGGTATGTTTTCCATTTGTACAGCCAAATTCTCTGTGTTCCAAAACAGAATGGCTGTGGCCAAATAATCCTATTTAGTGCCTCTTTCCCATTAAGCCCTAAATCATGACCAAGAACTTTTTGGGAGAGTGCCAGTTGGCACAGATCAGTACCATACAGCATACTGGGACAGCAATTTAACTGTATGGAACATCACGGCACATCAATTTCATTCCTGCGCTGTCACTGTCTAGTTTACTAGTATAGGCAGAAAATCTTTGGAAGTAAGCTTTTCCTTACACAATTCATAGTCAGTTTCTCATGGTGCCCACACTTTCTCATATGTTACAGTCAGGACAAGCCCAATTTCGAGTTTTAGAAAAATTTCCAGGGATCAAAAGACAAACATAAAATCAAAAACTGAACAAAACTACAATGGGAAAACTTTTAAATATTTAAACCATATATTCGGAATGTGACTGAATTTTGAGTTCCAAATCTGTATTCTTTTCCCATTTTTGAGTAATCAAAAGCTACAGCCAAGAATAACGATAACAACACTTGTGATTACATACCTGAGAATTCAGACTTTCATCAGCAATATTGAAATGCATACCACTTGAATGCTGTGCAAATTTAAAGTCCATTGAGGAGAACTCCAATGGTGATTTAAGTACTGTTGGAAAAAAAAAAAAATTAAGATGTTTACACAGCATTTTGACAAATATTTCCCCAAAGTCCTTTCATAAAAATCATTGTTTCTGCACATTTAGCAGAAATGTTTCCCTCCTTGTTTTACAGCTATATTTTCTTTCTGATTTTTCCATACTATACACATAATTACTGTAATTTAAGTTTCTGTTTTCTTATGACCTTTTAGTCACATTAAAATTATTTAAATTTTGCATCTAGCAGACATATAGCATCTCTCCTTCATATAAAGATGCTATAAACAGAGAGCTGCATGATTTTCCTATTGCAGACGAATGCATTTATAGTAATCACCGGAAAAGACTCAAAAAAAAAATTTATGAAAACCACCATTTCTCAATTTCATATAGCCAAACAAAGAAACCATCACAAGGGATGAAGTTCAAAGTGAGGATTTAGGAAAACAAAGGTATATTCCCACAGCCTCATTTTGATTCTTGATTAGATTTAAGACTGGAAATGAACCTAGAAAGCATACAGTATCCTTTTATTAAAATCTGCAAGTTTGTTTCACACTCAGTAGGGAACTGTGTTGATCAATTCTCTTCTCCCCCTAAAAAGCCCAAAGGATTTCCTAATCACATATCTCACATTATGTAAACAACAATACTACCCGCAATTCTCTGAAGCACAGGCATATAAACTCTATAAATTGATATTGTTTTAAAGTAGGAACCTAATTTGCTGGCTTGCATCCACCAATATGCAACTACGTCACTCACAAAGTCCTCACCTCTCATAGAAACTGCCTGCCCAAGGAAACACCGTTCGACTGAAAGACTAGGAGGTAAGAAAAAGGAAATTATCTACCCCAGAAAAGAAAGTATGGTTTGGGTTGGTTTTTTTTTTTTTTCATAAAATAATGGAAGTCAGCTTACATGAAGTCATTACATTGATAATATGTCCTCTTCCTTTGTGTCTGGCTGAGGCACGCCTTGTGTCTTGAGTTTTCTGTTTTGGTTTGGGGTTTTTTTCCTCTTTCAGTGCTTTCTTACATACCAATAAGCAGTCTCCAAGGGAAAAGTCTTACAAGTATTTAAGTAAGAGACCTGCTTTCCTTCCCAGGTGCCGAAACAGCCTACAAACTTTGTTTTTTTCAAAAAATTTGAAAAAAGATCCATGATGGATTGAAAACATATTGACCGCACTGAAGTTAAAAGACTGTGTTGACTGCTCTGAGATTATTACAATTCCTTTCTCAGGGTGAACGATCCCATGTGCAAACATCGGATATAAGCTATTGATTTAAGTGCCAACTGCATTGTCCTGTGCACTCTGAATCCCAGTCAACCACAAAAGCTGTCACAGGGAAAAAAATTTTACAGGACTGGAAAACAAACATGCCATAAAGTACCTAGTAGTGAGAATTAGGCATATTTGTCAAACCGACACTTAGAATTTGCAAGATAAAACCTAAAATTAGGTAAGATGTAAAGTGATAATCCAATATGATTAATCAATGGCACAATTTTTAAGTAGTCACAACGTAATAAAATTATCAAGTTTTTTCAACACTAAAAATAATTTGGCTAGTTGCCTGCATCTGTATGATTATGTGAAATACATTTATTAGACTTCCCTCCCTCCTCCCAGGCAATAAAAATTCCTTATAAGAAAGTAATTCCAACACTCAAATTTAAACAGAAGCTATACGTTATTTTTTCAATTATTTCTTAGAATTGAAAGTATTCACTTTAATACCATGATTACTTGTCGTTGGCCTATACTGGTACTTTGAAGAAATTCTATGTGGCAAAAGTACAAATTTGTGATAAAATTTAGGTAAGATTGTCATCTATTAGACAGACTTACTGATTGTATGGATTCGTTATTCCACAAAGAAAGGGAAAAGGATATAATAATTTTCTTTTTTCTTCAGGTTACATAAATCACATCTGCACTACAAATATTTCACATTGATGCACTATTTTTTACTTAGAGATGTGCTTTCTAATAATCTCACATACATATGTACATTTATCTTTATTCCATGTGTTCTTAAACTAAATCTATTTAAAAATGTTTAATATTAATTTACTTCCATCACAAGATCTAAAGAAGGTGTCTCAGATTTCTCTGGTATCTTAAAAGATCTCAAAAGTAAGACTTAAGTTAAAGCCCTACAGAGAGAAGAGGAAAAAAAAAAAAAATAGATAAAACCTAATAAACTGGAGTTGCGTTTACCCTTCATTATGCACTTTATTGGCCAAGCCTTTTTTAGTGCTCCCAAGATGTTTAAATATTATATAAACATCGTTCCAGGAAGACACTCAGCACTTCAGTCTCACCTCAAATAAACGGTTGCCTACATATTAAAAACTGAGATGGGGAAAGCTAAGGGATTCAAGTATTCACAATGTGTAGGTCTACATGACTATAAGGATCAGACAGGAGACTAAAGAAAACCACAAATCATTTCTAAGAAAAGCAGAGAAGAACCATGCAAAGTAACAGTTTCTTGCTACAGGCAAATGGCCTGTAACTTTGGCCAACAACAAACTCTGACAGGCCAGAAGAGTGCAGTTCTGCACATAAAAGCAAACGGACTAAATTACCATCTGTTCTCTCAGGTGGGATCAGGGCCAGCCAGCAGCATTTTAAAGTCTTCAATATAGCCAGAGCTCCTAGTTTTGACAGGGTAAGACTAAAATAAAAGTATGAGCGACATACTACTTTTCTACACTTCTCAGATGAACTGCTCTAAATACTGGGGTCTGCATGATAAGGCCTAGAAATACTAATGAATGAGTGGAAACAAAAATTAGTTCCGGTAAACTAAGTTTCATATAAGGCAAATAGCTAGATATATAAAATATACAAAATATTTTCCCAGCACATCACGATTATGTATAGAAAGTTTAGCTTTCACATATTTAAAAATACAAATCAAAATCTGAAAATTTTTCAAGTTTCCAAGAAAGTTACAAATTATACCATTACCAAGCTAAGTAGTAATTCTCTGCAATGAGAACGCAAGCAAAAAACATTACTACAAATACGAGTATCCACCACCTGCTCAAGTCCCTAGTTTACCTACCAACTGCTGTAACTCTACAGAATGGAACAGCCACAGTCACCGCCTGTGGCCGAGGAGCAACAATGTGCTTCGCAGATCCAACAGAAGTTGCAGATTCTGGGCTCGGCTGTGTCGAAGTGAAGTCAGCCCGAGGAGCATTAACTGGAAGAGTGAAGTCATATGCTGCCACCTAAAGGACAAAGATATCATCGTGGTCACATTCCCAAAGAAATTGTAGGCAATTCTTGAACCATCTGAGTGATATTGCTGTTTCAGAAGAATTATTGAAATTAATTTAGGACCTGATCATGTTATTAATAGAATGGTAGTTTATCACTACCAGGCATCGGCCCTTTAAGCAAGCCGTGGACAGACATTTTTTCCCTCACTGAGGGAAAAGCTTTATGCCCAAAAGTGTCAGTTATCAACACAGCTACAGACAAGTCTTCTGGTAAATCACAGTGTGGTGTTCCTCTCCAACCACTCTCCCAACTGAAAAAAAAGGTTGGAGCAGTGGCCCATATGCATCAGCATGAGCAAAGAGGGGGGGAAAAAAGCTACATTAAGGTAAGAAAGTCTCTCTCAAACACTGAAGAGAATGGGTCAACTGTTATGCTATACCAGAATAAACAAAATGAGCTCTGAGATCAAGATGGGGCACGACTTAAAAAAAAAAAAAAAAAATCATCAAGAAACCTCAGCCAAAAAAAGATTACTCTTAAAACCTTTGTCATTGAACAACGACTGAATTCTAGGAGTCCAAATTCCAGTGATTTTGATCCTAGTTTTATCTCTGCAATCACATCCCCAAATAAGTGAGGTTTAGAATTTAAAAGACAGAATGTTTATACAAAATCCTCTTTTTTGACAGACTGTGCACTTGAGAGGCCAAACTTACTTCACAGTGCACTTTCCAGAAGGCATGTCTTGCCTCTCGCTCTGTCTTTCCAAGGATCATCACACTAGAGCAGTATGTTCTCCAGACAGAAACATATGGATAACGACAACAAAGGTAACAGAAGAAAACTCAAAACTTCTGCACTAAAATCACTGTTAGTGTTTCTAATCCTGTTTTCACCTTGAAGGCCATTGAAATCTCCAGTAAGGACTCTAGCCTATAAAATCTGCATGCTGCTTAAAACTTGCAGTGAAGCCAGCTATATAAGGAATCATAGAACCATTTAAAAGCTTTCAAAAACTGCAGAAAATAGCGCACCATGCTTCACTTCCACATATGTGGAAGTGAGTAGAATGTATAAGTGACAGGAAAGAAAAAAAAAAAAAGTTGTACTAAGCCAGGACATGAAGCACATATCCATCTGTAGCAGAATCAACACAGAGCTTACATAATGAGAAGCAAGTACCCAGCACTTACAGTGTTTGGAGTTCCAGCAGAGTTTGTAACACACAATTACGAACTCCCGGTGAGCGAGATGTGTGCTGAGCCTTGTGGAATGTTTTGTGTATTTGTGCTTAGCAAGAGGAAAGCATGGGATGAAGGGAAGTATTTCTAGTGAGATCACCAGTCTCTTGATTTATATTGATACTTCAAATCTGATAATGATTAGATTTTTATAACTAGAATTGGCTTTTCAAAATTAACATTGTGAATGCCATTTAAGACATTTTAGTAACTAATGCTCAAGATGTGTCATAAAGATTGAGTAAAAATCTCCTGATTTGATTTAAATAGTCTTCTATTTTTTGTATCTCAGGTCACCCACATAAAATACTTCAAGTTACATCTTCAAAATAATCTCTGGAGGCATAAAACCACAAGATTGAAAATTAGACTGAAAAAGATTTTTTCTTCATAGCGTGAGAAGTTCCTTTCACTTCAAAGTATGTGTGAAATACATGATTTCATGTCACTGACAGCGGCTCCTTACGGTTTTAGAGATACAACTTTTATTAGAATAGAAAGTGCACTGTATTTCAAAGCTGTGAAATCCACCAAAAAATTAAAGTGTTTTCCAAAAACATGAGAGTTTGATAGAATAGAGCTGAATACACAGTTATTTGCTAACCCTGATAGCTGTTAAAATACATATGTAAGAGAGAACTGTAAAGTGAACCAATACAAGACAGAGAAAAATAAAGTTTACAAGACTCTAGGTCAAGCACCTCATACAACAGTCACAACACAGCCACAATCTGAAGACTCTGTCACACTCCTTCGGCTGTACGAGAAGTTTGCTGTTTCAGGTATAGTGTACCCAGCATACACCTTCAGAAGTGTAATATGCAAAATGATGCATAAATAACCAAGTTCTCACAAGCATTACAGGTCACTGTAAGGAAAACAGAGAGTAGATGTCTGCACATCTCAGGTTCTGAAATTATTTGCAGCCATGGCAGCTCCCTGTAGCCAGCAAGTACTTCCCAACAGGGGCATTTCTAACACTTGAAACACAAGAATTGCAGTAAAAAGTGAGCTAGAAAATCCTTTCCATCCCTAGCATGTATGACATATATAACAATATAATGACACTAAGTTTTTTAAGTCTGGTAAAATTAAAATGCTTAGTCCATAACAGATATCCTCACGTCATTGGCTATGCAAAGGAGTATAGCCTAGCACTGCAATTGTTCCTTCATCAATGCTGTTACGTTTAGTATGTTTAGATCGGACAACAAAAAGTGGAATCCTTTTATCCCTCTCCCAAAGAAGCTATTCAAAATTTGGTTTTCATCCCCACTATCAGGAAAATTTGGTTTAGTCTTACTATGCAACAAGGATTTTATTTTCTAAGAACGGGCCAACAAAACGAAATATATGTAAGACACTCACTTAATTCACTACTTGTAAGACATGATGTTCACTGAAAGTCTAAATTTGCTTTGAAGTACAACGGTGGAAATTCAGTCAATCTCACAGAAATGTATATATAGTACCTTTGCCCCATTAACTGCACATTAACTAACCTGTACTACAAATGAAAAATTATTTAAGATTTCTATATGCCTAGAAATCATATTATAATTCATACACATACTTACACACACATATAACAAACAGAATTAAAACAATTTCATTTTTTTAGAACTTCACTTTGCAAGTACAATTATTATTTTTCTTGTTATCCATATTTCAAGTCTAAAACTTTACACTGGAAAATTCTCTCTTGTAAGATTATAGACTCGAAAAAATGACAATATTAAAAAAATAAACTTTATACTATTAGTGGACTTGCAGTTGCCTTTTAAATAATCTATGAGTACTTTACAGTTATTTATCGATTGAGATATTTTTCTGAAGCTGCATTTACCTTCAAAAACCAGAGAATACAGGGAGGGGCAGGAAGCAAGCAGCCTAGAGAGAGTTCTTTTACAAACACTCAAGATTGTTTATACCATTATAAGAAATATTTTTTCCTGTCCTGATTTACACAAATTATGCACATTAATTGCAAAAGAGGAATCATCTACAATGTGGTAGTCTTAGCAATTAACATACTTCAAAAGAAGCTTTAAAAAGACTAGCCATGTGAGACAAAGGAGCTTTCTGTTACGCATTCACATAGAACACCTCCAAAGGATGCCAGAAAAAGGACATGTTTGCATAGGCTGCCACCAAAAGGTAACAATTCTTTAAATAAAGCTGATCTTCTTGCAAACTTTTATTTAGAGGGCATTTTAAAACACCTTCCAATTTTTTGGCTAGAATTGCTAAACAAATAAAAGTTATTGATTTTAGGAAATCTGTCTGATCAAGAAAGCTCTGCTACTAAAATTCATTTAAATCTGTGAAAGAGGTTTGATACAAAGCACATGGTAGCTCTAAGCCCAATGTTGGAGAGTGAACATAGCCAAAAGGCTTCCTGCCTCAGGCCTAAACACTCAGTATACTGAAAGAAACAAGAGGGGGAACTACTACCCCATCAGCTGTGACAATTAAAATGGTATTTTATGTAAAATTTATGCATAAAAAATAAACCAACTCAAATACAGTTGTCAGATGGGGGGAGAGGAATCTAAGAGCAGGGAAAAAAAGTAACTTTGAAAAAAACTCTTTCAAAGCAATTACTTCATTTCTGTCTTTATTAAGTGCTACAATGCAATAATATATTTTATGCTTTATAAAATATATTTTGCTAATTATTATTGTAATACAGCATATAATCTCGGGGTTGAGTAAAATTTTGCTGTCAAATCCAGGAATCATATGGTTTATGTAGCGCAAACAACATGTGACATCTCCCTAAAATTACAGTACTTGCTTTCAGAGTATAACTTCACAGGGAATTGCAAGTAAATCAGTAAGATAATTTATGACTTTAAATTAAGTTAAAACATCCGGACATCACATAATAACATTCAAACTGTTCAAATATCTTGAAGTATTTGATGTCATTGAATTTTTGTGTAAAGGCTGATTTTAAAGTTTATTTCTTTATAGCATTAGCAACATACAGATTCAGCAACGATACAAGGATAGGAAAGTGTAATGAAAATTAGAAAAAATCAGTTTGATTCAAACTTAAACCTAACTGCAAAACCAAGGGTTTGTGTCCTGCAACTGTATACAACACCTTCTCAATCTCCCCTCAGATTTAACATAAGCTTTTTCCTTAAAACGTACTTAAATCTTTCATGCAGCCTAAATTCCCCAGCTTTATATCACAGATAAGCAGCTTTCCACAATGAATAATGTAACTTGCGTTCAAAGCCATCATTCAAAACACTGAAATATAACTAAATCTTTCCCTTGTATATGGTCAGAGATGATGCACCAGCAATACCTGTAATTCCACAGCTACAGATTTTCCATAGAATTAAATTTCGTACACCATGAATTCTGTTCTTTCATTTTGAAAATAATTACGTCACTAAAAATGCTGAAAACACCCAAACAAACCAAAACCACCTGTCACTTCTCTACAAAAAGCTTAAGCAATAAGCTCTGACAGGTGTGACTTGCTCCATTTATCTCAATCAAAGACCCTCATAGGCTTCATTATTACACAGCTGTGTATTTTGTCTTTTCTCCAGGATGCTGGAATTTGTTATTTTCCAACAGGCATAAAAAGGAAAAAAAAAAAAAAAAGTAATTTTGAAGCAGTATGCTCCTGCCCCTTGCTTTGCCTGCTTTCCTTACGAGACCACGCACGAGACTGATGGTGGCAGGTGGCTCACCCTGCCTGGAGAAACACAGTAATAGTTGAGGATCAAAGATCAGCAAATATTTAA